TATATATATATATATATGCATACATATACATAAATAAACTGCATAGTTGCAATCTAAACTACATTCTCGACTAAAAAAGCCTCAAAAGTACATTATGTTATCCAACAGCAGCAATATTTGTCAAACTGTAGAGTGTCTCTGTTTGTTGCTGTATGTGGGTGGAGTAATACACAAGGCTGATGGGTGAAGAGCCTTTCTGGTAGAATTGCGATATTGCCATGATCTGCTGTCAGCTAATCAGATCATGGAAAAGATAAAATAAATAAGTTATTAGAGATGAGTTATTAAAACTATTATGTTTAGAAATGGGTTGAAAAAATCTTCTTTCCGTTAAACAGAAATCGAGGAAAAAATAAACAAGCGGTATAATAATTCAGAGGGATAATAATTCTGACTTCAACCGTATATAAAATAAAAAATACAAATTAAAAATAATAATAGATCTGAGTAAACTGTACATTTAACAATCAACATTTTAAAAATTCTCTCTTTAAACCTCTCTCTCTCTCTCTCTCTCTCTTTCTCTCTCTCTCTCTCTCTCTCTCTCTCTCTCTCTCTTTCTCTCTCTCTCTCTCTCTCAATTTCACTCAATAATTGCTTTATTGGCATGACAAATGTTACAGATGTATTGCCAAAGCATTTATAAAGTTTACATTGAAAAAGGAACATACATGCATAATAATAAAAAAAGCACAGTAAATAGTAGTAGTAGTTGAAGCTTTCTCTCTCTCTGTTCTCATGGATTTTTTTTATCTGGCATTTGTTATATTCCTCCATTCACCACTATAGAAGTGTACTTACTGCATCATCAATCAATAATGACTTCCTCCTTTTAAAAACCCTGGAAATCTGAAAAGGGTCTATTTGATTAAATTTACACACTGGCTGTAAAAGCAGCAGCAGATTGAAAGCTGACACAATGCCCTTGTGGCTCGCTGTCTTCTCTGGTATCTCATCATACTGAATGAATGGCCACTGATTAACCTAAAAGTGATGGATTTCTTAAAATTAATACAAATTCACTGACCAACGACTATAAACACACCTGAAACCCCTCATTGCTTCATTTTTTTGTCAAGATAATTAATACTCGCAAAATCCAGAAGGAAATTAATTAATACCGCATCATAATTAAATCAACAATGTGGCTGTGTGTGATACTGTGACACTTAATTACACATTTTGCAGGCTGGGAATGGTTGACCATCTGGCCTTGTGTCAGAGATGTGCGTCAAGTGCAAGACGTGTTACGACACGACAAGGATCTTAAACGATTGATCAGGCTGCCGGATTTATGCCAGTCCTCATGCTGCGGGGTTCGGAGAGTAATAGAGGGGTTTGGGGTGATCAATGTGCCTGTGTGTGTGTGCCCACATCGCCCCTGGCCTTTGCCTCCACACAATGAATCAGTTCGGTCAGAGAGTCATTTTCAGACAGAGCGACGACACTATTCAGACAGATTTACACATGCTGCGCTATAGCTTTTACTCTGGTCTAGATTTATGTCAGCACATACACATTTTTGTTTTGTTTTTTATATAGTTTTTTAGTTCAATTGAATGTAATATAAATAAATAAAGTAAATAGTTATTGCTGCAAAGCAGATTTGCACAAAGTGTGAGTTATTTACAATCAAAATCAGAGAGTGTTAAGTTGTGAGTAAGGTTGACAAATTAAAAATGTTCTGTTTCAGTGATCTGATACTGTATTTGCATGTGAACAAATGAACATACCGATTAGAATAAGCTGCAGGCTTGAAAATACCCATGTTCAAATTATTTTCCCATCATATTTACATTTAAATCATGCTTTGAATGTCTGTTGTCATATTTTATGCAGGGGTGTAGAGTAACAAATTACAACTCCTCAAATGACTGTCATTGAGAAGTTTTTCAGGAATTGCAATTTACTGAGTAGTTTAAAAAATGTTTATACATTTTAAGTGCGATTTTAATACTTTTACTCCACTACTTCCCTTCAACCTGCAGTCACTACTTTATTTTTTGTGTCTATGGGGATTGGCTAAGTAGAAAAATCAATCCTGTGATTTTTGTCCAATCAAATCGCACATAGAGAATACATCTCATCATACTGAACTAGAGCTAGGCGATATGGCAAAAATGCAATCTAAATAATTAATTTCCATAGTGAACAATAACGATATACAGTTGAAGTCAGAATTATTAGCCCCCCTGAATTATAAGCTTATTTATTTTTTCCCCAGTTTCTGTTTAACGAAGAAAAGATTTGTTCAACACATTTCTAAACATAATAGTTTTGATAGCTCATCTCTAATAACTGATTTATTTTATCTTTGTCATGATGACAGTAAATAATATTTGACTAGATATTTTTCAAGACACTTCTATACAGCTTAAAGTGACATTTAAAGGCTTAACTAGGTTAATTAGGTTAACTAGGCAGGTTAGGGGAATTAGCCAAGTTTTTGTATATCGATGGTTTGTTTAAAAAAATTAGCTTAAAGGGTATAATAATTTTTAACTTAATAAGTAAAAACTGCTTTTATTCAAGCCAAAATAAAACAAATAAGACTTTCTCCAGAAGAAAAAATATTTTCAAAGATACTGTGAAAATTTCCTTGCTCGGTTAAACTTCATTTGTAAAATATTTTAAAAAGAAAAAAATATTCAAAGAGAGGCTAATAATTTTGACTTCTACTGTATATTTCAATATACGTTTATATATCCCAATATTGACTGAAGCCTCAAAAGTTAGAGAGTCCACTAAATAGCATAACATTTTCGGCTGATAATTGTGATCGAAAATTCGGTACATCTCTAATATCAACACACTTTTATATTCCCCTTGTTGTATATTTCTGCTGTGTAATTGGCTCTTAGATTAATATGAAGTAAAATAGTGCATTGCTTATCACTGTTATTGTCATAAATTTTATCGCGATTCGATATAATATCATTTATTGGCCCAGCTCTATACTGAACTACCTGAAGACGTTTAAATGCAGCAAACGGTTTGGAAGCATTAAAAGTGTACAAGCGGATGTGCTTAAACAAATGGCCTTAAACAAGAACTAAATGCACTACAAAATGTTACGTTTACACATGCCTGCTCAAATTGCATGTAAACGCATCAGCCTTTCACAGTGTTATACTCTCTACTCCCTACTCTTGAGTACTTTCAAAAGGGCTACTTTTTACATATACTTTAAATAATATTCACATTAGATACTTTAACAGAGAAGTCTTCTTCACAGCAGTGAAAATGTTGTTTTCGAAAGTTTGAAAGACATGTGTGAAGTAAAGTTATGCTGTTTAATATTAGACAGTTAGTTGCATACACTGAAACGCATGCGGCCAATTTGAACATTATGACCATACAAGGTAGAAATACTCAAAATGTTTTTTTTTTTTGTTTTTGTTTTTGTAATTTTAATAAAAACAAATAACAATGATAGAATGAAATATACACATATTTAGGAAAAGTCCTTGGGTCCCTAGGAAAGGTACTTGGGGTTTATTTGAACAAATGTATTAAATGACAACATTTGAAAATTATTAAAAACTCCCTGGACAGTTCGAAAGTCTTAAATGAATAGTTCAGCTAAAAAAATAAAAGAATAAAGAATAAAGAACAAAGAATAAAAGAAGATATTTGTTAGAATGTTTGAAATTGATAGCCATTGACATCCAAGGGAAGTAGGGAAGAAAGTAGGGAAAAAAATCCAACATGTATAGTGGTGGTCTAAGGCCATAAAAAAGTGGGTATTACAGTATGAAATACATTATGCCTATCCGCTTGTTAAGTTGTGACGTATGGAATACTGTTTTCGGTTTAAGCCACTACTAATTTGAATTGAGAAAATATTTGTTTATGACCACTTTTTAATTATAAGTCATCATGTCATCAGGGTGTACACATCAGTTCCTGAACATGCTGAATCGTAGACACCAATATTAAAAAAAAAATACAAAATGAATCTTCTGGTCATCAGATATTAGGTATGGATGTTTATTATATTTTTTATTATATTTTTATATAGAACTCATTGCAATATGAATATGCTTCTATGATAATATGAGATATATATATATATATATATGTAGCTGACACGGTAGCTCATTGGTTAGCACTGTCGCCTCACAGCAAGAAAGTTGCTGATTCAAATCCTGGCTGGGCCAGTTGGCGTTTCTTTGTGGAGTTTGCATGTTCTCTATGTGTTCAGTTTCTCCCACAGTCCGAAGACATGCGATACAGGTGAATTAAATAAGCGAAATTGCCCATAGTATATGAGTGTGTATGGGGTTGCAGCTGGAAGGGCATCAGCTGTGTAAAATATATGCTGGATAAGTTGACGATTCACTCCGCTGTGGCGACCCTTGAAAAATAAAGAAACTAAGCTGAAGGAAAATGAATGAATGAATGAATGAATATATATTTTATTATTTTAATCAATCTCAATGAAGTTACTGTATATTTCTTCACCTGATTAAACAGAAGAAATAGAATCAGTCTGGTTGGAAACAAGTGGAGGGTGAGTAAATAATGACAGAATTTCCACTTTTGTGTACGGGTGTCCTGAACACAGTGTCAGATGAAGGACACAGTATGATGTGATGTCACGTGACTATGTTTGTCTGCTAACGTTTGATATGCTCTTGCTCACTCTTGTTTGCAGCCTGGGTTCTCCTCATTGTAATAGAAGAGGGATTTGCCCTGGCGCAGAAAATTAGAGGTATGACTCACGCATTATCACACTCTTATCTCTACTGTCAACTGTGACAGTCCTATCGGTACACTTATTTTTTTCTGTTCCTGTGCAGATTTCAGTTTCTTGGTCTGTGAATGTTGAATGGGTCATTCATGGTATTTAATACACTGTAAAAAATGCTGGGTTCCACACAATGGATTTGTGTTGAGACAACATGAAGGAATTAAGTTGACTTGTTAGTTTTTACAAATTTAAGTGGATTGAACAAAACACAATTAAGCTCAGGAATTGTGTTGATGCAGCTCATTTTAAATACAGTGCTCGGCATATATTAGTACATCCCCCACAAATCTCTCATTTAAATAATATGTTCTACAGGATGCTTTACAATATTATATTTGTGCATATACATTAGTTTAGTCAGTACTGAAGCCAAATCTGGAGCTAATCTAACAAAATAACTTACAATAACAGTTCAGAAATGAGCAGCCCAAATTTAGGTTAGGGAAAAAAATAATAAATAACATTTTCAAAAATAGCAAAAGTCAAGAGAAACAAAAAATATATACAATTTTGTTGAAATATTGTAGTTTGTAATTTATTTATTTGTTCGGTGACTTAAATATTATTTTAATAAATATATCTGTTTATAAAATCTGTTTTGTTTAAATGCACCAAAATACATTGCCTATATTCTTAGAGAAATGGATAAAAATATAAATTTTCAAAATGTGCTGTACTCAGTTATGCTGAGCACTGTAAGCAGTGTGACAAATGTAATTTTTTGAGTGTACCTTTTTATCATCATGATACCCAAAACACTTTTTTATTTGTTTATAACAAAATGTGTAATCTTGATTGAGATATTAAAATGTGAAATACGTTATTTTTTCTTCTGGAGAAAGTCTTATTTGTTTCATTTCATCTTGAATAAAAGCTGTTTTTAAATGTTTTAAAAAAACATTAAATTTAAAATAAACATTTAAAAAAATTAATTAGCTCATCTAAGCTGTATATTTTTTCGATAGTCTATAGAACAAAGCACTGTTATACAATAACTTGCCTTATTACCCTAACCTACCTAGTTAACCTAATTAACCTAGTTACGCATTTAAATGTCACTTTAAGCTGTATAGAAGTGTCTTGAAAAATATTTAGTCAAATATTATTTACTTTCATCATGACAAAGATAAAATAAATCAGTCATTAGAAATGAGTTATTGAAACTGTTATACTTAGAAATGTGTTTAAAAAATCTCTCCGTTAAACAGAAATTGGGGGAAAAATAATTCAGGGGTCTAATAATTCTGACTTCAACTGTACCAGGCAAAGTAAAAAAAGATTGTCATATGTTTTTTTTTATCATCAAAATGGCATAAACAGTACTGGGGATGGAGTAAATGTGTGAGATGTGTCTGTTTGAAGTGCTTGTAAAATTTTTTGAATTATTAAAAAATAAATAAGTAAATATTATTGAAGACGAAGCTTTAAAGATGAATGCAGAAAATTTTAAGCAGTAATTTCATGATGTTTACTGAAGGACAAAGGATACTGTGTCACAGGAATGACACCAATATTTGACCTGATTAAACTGGAAAAGATGAAAAAATTCAAATGCACTCCTTTCGAACAGACATTTTTATCTCAATCCCTTTTTTCTAAACTCAGAACATCTTTTTACTTATGTTTTATATGACAAATTTACTGACTTTAAATTCATAATAAAATAAAATCAACGCTGAACATTTTACAGCAGTAATTCCATGTTCTTTTATGAGGACACAAAAGAAATTGAATCACAGGAATGACACCAATATTTGACCTCATTAAAATGCAAAAACAGATCATCAGAATAATGTTGAAGGTATTTTTGTCTCAGTCTCTTTTTTCTAATCTAAAAATACCTTTTTATATGCATGGTCGGTGACATTCGTAAACTGTTAATCTCATCTGTGTTTTAGTTAATATCAGCCAAACCTATTTCATTCATGTTTCCTTTATCCTCCTGTCTTTTCTCACAGAGACCCAAAATGTGGGTGAATCTCCGTCCAGCACTGAACAGTGCGGCCAGTGGACCCGAAATATCAATGGAGGGCTATTCACATCTCCGAACTATCCAAACTCATATCCACCCAACAAGGAGTGTGTGTACATCCTAGAAGGTAACCTCGCTAACAGCAAAAGAAAGATGTGTCTCCGGCTATTTATCAGCTGTTAGATGTCAGACTGACAGAAACAGTTAACGAAAGCGTGATTGACGGCTGCCTCAAGTTAATGAGGTTTTCTAATAAAGGAGTGTTGTATTTTTTCCTCCGGGTACTTAAGAACACTTCTCTCTCTCTTTATTATTATGGTATACGCAAAACTAATTTCATTCTCTTAAAAGCATCACTCACAACAGTATTTCAAGCAGTTCAAGAGCTCCCCCTGTGGATGAAGCACAAACAAACAATTGGACATGCTTGAGTCTTGATTTCTTCCAAGCATATTTTTATATGAGATATTAATATGACATTTGTGTAGAATATACACACACACACACATACAGTTGAAGTCAGAATTATCAGCCCCCCCTTTGAAATTTGTTTTCTTTTTTAAATATTTCCCAAATGATGTTAAACAGAACAAGGACATTTTCACAGTATGTCTGATAATATTTTTTTTTCTTCTGCTGGAGAAAGTCTTAATTGTTTTATTTCGGCTAGAATAAAAGTGGTTATTATTTTTTTAAACACTATTTTAAGGACAAAATTATTAGCCCATTTAACCTAGAAAAAATTTTTGATAGTCTACAGAACAAACCATCGTTATACATCAACTTGCCTAATTACCCTAACCTGCCTAGTTAACCTTATTAACCTAGTTAACCCTTTAAATGTCATTTTGAGCTGTATAGAGGTGTCTTGAAAAATGTATAACTGTATATATAGAGAGAATAATATTGAGTTTAAATATTAAATATATCCATATCCTATTAAAACATTTGACAATTTGTCTAGGCATGTTAAACACCTCGTAATCATAGAATTTTAAGGTTCTATCTGACATTTTTGCCAAAATTGAGTTATTGAAATATTCTTATGAAATGACAATTTATTTACATTATGAGATTTTTTTATAAGTTGTTTACATTTTAAGACTTTCTATTTAAAAAAAACAAATGTTACACGCATACTGTTTCATATATGGAATGCAAAAACTTTGAAGCTCAATATCTCAAAATCATTCAGAATGCAGATCGAACCTTATAATTCCAAGGTGACGACTTGCTGATGATGCAGAATATTATACACAGGGTTTATTTGTAGCTCTATTTATCTTCTGCATTACCTTAATTCGCTGCAATCTTTACCTGAATGCATAATTATTCCATGCATATTTAAATGGCTTCCTATGCAAAACAGAAGGAAGCTTTCGTTTCTTCTTGATAAATGATTGTAGAATGTGCCGAGTCTGTGCTTTTAATGTGAGCTGGAGCAAATTCAGCCACACAAAGCTAAATCAACAGTGACACTGGTTATTTGTTTCAGAGACTGATATGATTATGGTTGTTGTGCCTCAAGCAGGTGACCTACATTTCAAAATTTAGTTAGTTGTCTCGTTGTGCTGCCTGTTTATGTATTTATTATCCATGATAAATTAAAGATTGCTGCGGACAGTCCTGTATTTGTAATGATAAATCAAAATTAATTACTGTGAAATATGCATTGCAGTACAATAGGCTATCGAGTTCTTTCAACAGAGCTATGAAAGGGAGATTATCTTTGGTTGGTGTTCATTTTGTGGCCTCTGTATTTGATGTAAAAGTGACATATGTGTTGCTCATTTTGAGAAGTATTTCCTTGGTGTTTGTGTGAATACCTTGTATTTCTTATGCTGAGAGGTCCCCGCTTGTATAGCAATAGCAGTAAATGTTGACCTTGTGGAGATGTTTATAGAGAAAAACAGCTTGTAAATCACACGGAACACAGCATTTTAAACATGTAAAATGCAGATTTTTTTCTTGTGTGTGTACTGGTTTTGGTGATTTACAAAAACAGAAATTTGTGTAATGACTTAAATATGACCTTGTTGTACTCTATTAAGGTAGTTTTCGAGGACATGCCTTGTGCCCTCATAATTCTAAACACTTAAAAATCTGACTTAACAGGGTTTGATCACATTTACATTTTGACATTGGTTTCATGTGAGGGTTGTGTTTAGGGGTGGAGTAATGCCATTCAATAAGTGGTTATTACAGTATGAAATACATTTTGCCTATCTGCTTGTTAAGTTGTGATGTATGGAATACTGTTTCCGATTCCAAACCGCTACAAATTTGAATTGAGAAAATATTCGTTTATGACCATTTTTTAGTTATAAGTCAGCATGTCATCATGGAGTACACATCAGTTTCTGGTTGTGCTGAATCTTAGACACCAATATTTAAAAGATTTATTCAAAAATTAATCACTTTCTGCTCATCGGACATTAGGCATGGATGTATATACTGCGATTGTGATATTCGAAGGTATTACATTTGGAGTTACTTTGGAAACGCCTATTATTACTATTCGTTGAGTCTCCCCACTCAGCTTAATAGAGTGCTTGGACCTGGAAGCCATTTAACAAGAGCATGGAGAGCCCTTGTGAACCACCAATAGCACCAATACAATTATTGTATCACTTTACAGTAAGGTTAAATTTCGTAACAAAGTACTACTTCCAAAGCATTAGTTAACATAAATTTTGACGTTAGAAAATACTTTTTTGCTGTTAACAGTGTATTAGCTTGTTATTTAATGGAACTAAGCTAATCAACTGCTGTTTATGTTTAATAGATAGTTGATAATGTTTCAAAAATGAAAATGCTTTCATATTTACTCTTATGTTCAACAGTTTGAGTTCTTTTGAGTACAATAGCTAATTTTCTGAAGAATGCTGGAAATTGGTAACCATTTACTTCAATGGTATTTTTATGGAACTAATGGAAGTCAGTGGCTAAAGGTTTCTGGCATTCTTCAAAATATCTTCTTTAGAAAAATTGTCATCAAAAAAAAATAAATAAAAAACTAACAATTTGAAGGTAAGTAAATGTACATTCATTTTTTCAGTAAACTATTTAACTAGCTTTAACATATACAATTGAAGTCAGAATTATTTGCCCCCTGTTTATTTTTTCCCCAATTTCTGTTTAATGGAGAGAATATTTTTTCAACACATTTCTAATCATAATAGTTTTAATAACTCATTTCTAATAACTGATTTATTTTATCTTTGCCATGATGACAGTAAATAATATTTTACTAGATATTTTTCAAGACACTTCTATACAGCTTAAAGTGACATGTAAATGCTTAACTGGGATAAATTAGGATAACTAGGCAGGTTAGGGTATATAGGCGAGTTATTGTATAATGATGGTTTGTTCTGTAGACTATAGAAAAAATATAAAGCTAAAAGGGGCTAATTATTTTGACCTTAAAATGTTTGTTAAAAATTAAAAACTTCTTTTATTCTAGCCAAAATAAAACAAATAAGACTTTCACCAGAAGAATAAATATTATCAGACATACTGTGAAAATGTCCTTGCTCTGTTAAGCATCATTTGGGCAATATTTTAAAAAGAAAATCAAAGGGGCGCTAAGAATTCTGACTTCAACTGTATACTGTACACACACACATAACAAATGGATTGCTTACCAATGGTAACATTTTTAAGTGTCAGCATTATTGTATTTCATGCGATATAGACCAAGGGTTAGCACAGGTTACAGTGTCACAGATTAAATATAATGTTTGCTCTTTCATTTTCACATCCCTCTCTCCTGCAGCTCTCCCTCGGCAGAGAATTCAGCTGGCCTTTGACAAAACATACTATATCGAGCCTTCCTTTGAGTGCCGCTTCGACCACATTGAGATAAGGGATGGTCCCTTCGGTTTCTCGCCTCTTATTGATCGCTTCTGCGGGCCGAAGAGTCCAGGTGTGGTCACCTCCACGGGCCGCTTCATGTGGATCAAATTCACCAGTGACGAGGAGCTTGAAGGCTTAGGCTTTCGTGTCAAATACACTTTTATAGCAGGTAACCCTGGAAGTGAAAGCAAGTGGTTTTGTCTTTGAGCCTGATACACGAATGCATTCTGAATTTAAAGAGTTGACCTTGTGAAGAGTCCTTGTTTAAGTCTTTTTAGTCTTGTCTCTCCTCAGCGTTGTTTATATGTCAGACTTGATGCATGTCTTACAAACAGTAATAAACATAAACAGTGTTTTTTTATTTGGCAATCGCTACAGTATATTCCATTACATGCAAATTTATTCCTTTTGAATGTCAATGTGAGCACTTCGTCTTGTAAGGTATGCATGGATGAACAAGTTTCTGAAGGTATGATAACCTTGAATAAAAGTATCACATTTTCTCGATATCACGGTATTGAGATTACTGCTCTAAAATCTGTTTTTTTTAAATGTCTGGGCTAAACAAACTAAACCTTTTCCCCATTGATCACAATTTATTTTATTTTAAGAAACATTTATGATATCTTGGAGCAGTAAAAATGTCAGGCTAAATAATTTCAAAAACACATTACAACAAACAAAATATTAATAAATAACCTTACATATACCTTAGGAATGTTACAAGACAGAACATTTAGCGGTAATAAAACATTGACTTTTCTTCCCATGCCTAGATTTCATAACAGTCAGGTTTGTAACAATTATCATAGGCCAACTATTTATTTCTTTTCATTTATGTTCTCTTGAAATATCTTTCAATTAACAGTTTGCTAAAGCTTGTTCTTTATGTTTTTCATTTCATTTATCAATGCTTTTGAATTGCATTACGGGACCTTGATCCTGGAGCTGACAAGTGTAGCAAAATGACTGTTATTGACATTTTTAGTTGTGATGTATTATTATGTGAGTCAGTAGTTTTTCTGGTATTCTTTTATAATGACTTGGTGTTTCAGGCTAATAATATGTCAATAAAAGTCACTTAGATTAGATTCATCTTTACTGTCATTACCCATGTACAAGTACAAGGCAACGAAATGCAGTTTACATTTTAGCGTTTCACATTTTACAGTTTTACATTTTACTTTTTAAAACTGTTAAGTCACATTTTCAACATCAAAAGTTGACAGCGTTTAGAATGTTTAAATTATATTTAAAAGCCTAAACAAACAGAAAGCATCTGTGAATCACAAAACATGAAAGTCAGTTTAATGAAACTTTCAAATGTATTTGATTGATGGGATAGTTCAACCAAAACTAAAACATTGTGATCATTTACTCTCTAAGTTCCAATCCTGATTAAGATTCTGTCATCTGTTGAACAAAAATATGACATTTTGATCAAAACTGGAAATCTGTCACCATTTACCTCCATAGTATTTGTTTTTCCTATTATTGATGTGAATGGTTACTTAAAAATGTCTTTCTTTGTGTTTAGCGGAGAAAAGACACTATTAAAGGTTTGAAACCACTTGAGGGTGAGCAAATAGTGAGATCATTTTCATATTTGGTTGAACCATCCCTTAACCTCAATAATGATGGATTCATTGACCTTTTCTGCTCCAATGAATCTATTACTTTAATGGAGGAAATATCCAGGGAAGCTTGCTATTCCTTCTCCTTATACTTTGAATGCAGATCCTTCAGCTTGATTCACTGGATTTTAAGGTATTTCAAATCCTGGCAGGATCATGTTCAGATGCAGCAGCTGTAAGAGTTTCAGATGTTTTGTGTGTTTAAGGTCAAACAAGACAAACACTAAATGCCGCCTATTAGATCAAACGGCAGATCTCTCCGCCGCAGCACCCACGGCTCTCCTAAACTGTATTTTATTGCATGTTTGTAGCAGGGGATTTCAAGCGTGTGCTATCTGGGTAATGCGATATCTGTCTTATCATTTCAGACCCAGATTTTCATTTGCACGTCGGTGGATTGCTAAATCCAATTCCAGGTAAGCCCCTCAATATTTTCACCCCCCACTTCAATTCCATCTGAAGTGCTTTCTATTCTCTGCGGCAGCTCAGGCTATCTGCTGCTGACATCCAGCACTACTCCCTCTCTTCTGTTCATCTGACTGTGTCTCTTGTTGGACCTTCCATCTGTTTTCTCCAACCAAACCCTCTATGTTCCTTCATTTTGCAGCCAATGCTTTTCTTGCTTTCTTTTTGCGTGTGCCATTTTAGGTTTTCTCTTTTCCTAATCTCTTTCTTGCTTCCAAACTTTTCCCGCGGCAGATTGCCAGTTTGAGATCAGTGGTTCAGACGGAGTCATCCACTCCAGTCAGGTGGAAGAAGAGGATAAGATCAAAAATGGAGACGCGTTGGACTGCATCTGGACCATCCGTGCTCCACCTCAGTCCAAGGTGACCCTCTTGGCTTTGCTTGCGCAGTTCATCAAATAAGATGACCCTGCTCTTCTGCCAGAGGCAGATATATGAGCACCTTAAACTGAAGCAGGAGGCCATCAGGCCCCCCGACCCTTTTTCTGCTGAGAAAACTTTTCAAGGAGAGCTCAAATTAGCAATGCAGCAGCAGCAAGTATTAGGCCAATGATGCAGAAATGGAGGTAGAGCCGAATCAGCAAGTACTAGGAATAAGACTGAGGGATGAAAACAGCATTAAGATGGTCGAGGGATTACACACTCACCTGCGCTAAGCAGACCCGAACACTTAGCAGGCTAAAAAAACATCCCTGAAGAGCTTGCCAGAAGAGTGAGTGATTACAAAGCATAGAGATAAGTCATTAGAGTTATGGGGAGCAACTTTCCTGTGAATTTTTCGGGAGGCTAGTCTCTTTAAGAAAACATTGCCAAGAGCTTTTTTTTTTTGTTGTTTTGTTATTCTCAGTAAGCAGTCCCAATAGATCAGGTCAGTTCACTCTGTCAGACCAAAATGCAGCAGTATTTTTCCTTTCTGCTCAAATATATTTTCTTGCAAGTTGCTGTTTTCTGTCCTGTCCTCTTCCAGTCAGCATTTTGCCAAATGTAGCGGATGCGTTTGTTAAAGGTTGGTTCTTCCCTGCAGATATACCTCCGTTTCCTTGAGTACCAGATGGAGCACTCGAACGAGTGCAAGAAGAACTTTGTGGCCGTGTATGACGGCAGCAGCGCCATTGAGAATCTGAAAGCCAAGTTCTGCAGCACAGTGGCCAATGACGTGATGCTGGATACTGGCGTGGGGGTTGTGCGCATGTGGGCTGATGAGAGCAGCAGACTGAGCCGTTTCCGAATGCTCTTCACTTCATTTGTGGATCGTGAGTAAAGTTCTTAATCCTAAAATTACAACAGGATGAAAGTACACTCTGTAAAACCCAACAAGTTAAGGCAACTCAAACTGTTTGAGGAAACCAATTGCAACAAACCATTTGAATTAAAAAGCAAGTACTGTGAACTTACTCCATTTAAGTTGAAGTAATGAAGTATTGAACTCTTTACAAATGAGTATAATTAACATAATTATAATTAACATTCAGTAAATTTTGAGTCAACTACACTCATTTTATTTGATAAAGTTGACTGTTTGGTTTTACAGTGCAAGTAATACATTCGGACATAGTCAATATGCAAATCAGTAAAATGTACTGAACTTTCGTGGGTAAATCAGTGGCTTTTATGGCACTAGAAAGTTAGAGTGTGACCTTTGGAAAAGTCTGTGCCACGTCAGCTTACCTAAAAAAAAAAAAGCTAAAGCTAGCAGGCTGGGTAGAAACATCATTTATATTTCATTTTGTAATGTGCTTTAGGCAGAGTCTGCCTTTCAAGGATTGCAAGCCTTCTCTAGCCGCAGTATGAAAACAGCATGAAAACAAAGCGAGCAGAACACTTCCCCAGATTATAATGTGCCAAATTTCATTAGGAACACAAGCTATTATCATAGCGGGATGTACATCTCTGTTTAACTGTTACATGTGCTTGTATCAAATATTGTCAACGGTCATAATCTTCAACGTCTATCCATGGACATTCACCTTTTAATCTAATATAAATTTGTAATGCAGAAATGGAAATCGGCTTCTTTCAAACATGCATGTTTATCACTAACGTTTCTGGAAATGTCAGAATAAAGATGTCGAGTAATAGACTGAAATACGCTATGATCTATTGGAACTGACTCAAACAACCTGGCATTTATTTAAAAATTAGCCATTTAAAAAGTGTGAAGTTAATTAAAGTAATCTCTGTAGAACGCAGCGATATCAAAAAGCCAATTACTCCCCCAACCTTTGCATAGGAAATCAAATAACAGGGCTATAGTGTACATTTCTCATGCTAATGGTTCAGTCATGATGGAAAATTGGAAAGTATCTAGGGCTGCAGAAAAGAAAGAAAACACTAAATGAATATTTTCTTCGTGACTTAGATGTTGGCTATAAACAATTAATACAAATTTTGTTCGCTTTTACTTTTTAGAACCGTTGCTTTTTAAAAGTTGAAAGCAAATTATGAAAAATTACCAAGGAACAAATCAATGTTTTTGCACTAGTCTGAGTAGTACTTTAATAAATGCCAGAATAATTAATTGCTGCATTCGATGTCAACTCCATCTAAATATTAATATTGTGCAGTGTAAAAGCAGGGGCGAATGCAAATGATTTTCTTGCAGCACTGTGAATAGATTGACAGAGCCAAGTTGTGTTGGATTAGTTGGTACATTTAATGCCTTCACTAGCATCTTGGCAATAAGAAACAATTACATTTTCTTATCCACTGTGGTTAACAAATGATTATACAAGCCCTCGGCAAGCTCTTTGTAGATTTGTCTTTTTACCAGCAGAATCCTTGCCAGTAGGAAATGGTTTTGCTAAAAAAATCATATATAATCTGGTGGGTGATCTGGCCATTAAAGTGACCACAGTCAAATATAGCTGATGCTATCTATCACAGTTAAAGGTATAGTAAACAAAAAAAATGAAAATTTACTCACCCTTAAGTGGCTCCAGATTTCTTGAGTTTATTTTTTATTTTTTTCAAACTAAAATTGAGAAACTGATAGCCATTGACTTATATATTTTTCTTAGTGTAAATTTCAAATTACAACTGAACAAGACATTATAGAACAGGTAAGTCACATTCTAAGTCGATATCTATTTTTTGCACTGTAGTGCTGTATTCATAACACAGTAATCCAGTAGTGTTTGCTTTGCTTTGGCTTTTTAAGGGGTTAATTATTGTGATATCCTGATAGCAACAGAGAAATACTGGGAAATCTATGTAGACTGATGGCCATTCAAGCTGTTCAGCATTCTAATCTTAAAATGTGAGCAAAATCACCTGTTTTGTCAGCACTTCAGACATTACACAAGACCAGGGGTGCCCAAAATTTTTCTTATGAAGGGCCAAAACTAAAACTTAATTGAGGGTGGTGGGCTGAAGCTAAATATACTTTTTATTATATTGTACACTAAAGTTGCCATTGTAACTTACTAGTTTAATAATATATATATTTAAAATAAAATATACATTTTATAATATACTTCTTACAATAAAACCATAAACAAACTCATTTTTAACACAATAGAGTTATTGTTTTATACTGTATTTAAAATGCCCCTTTAAAAAAGGGGTGTACAAACTCGATCCTGGAGGGCCAGTGTCCTGTTGAGTTTACCTCCAACGTGCCTCAACACACCTGCCAGGAAGTTTCTAATGTATCCAGTAAGAGCTTGATTAGCTGGTTCAGCTTTGTTTGATTAGGGTTAGAGCTAAATTCTCCAGGACAACGGCTCTCCAGGACCGAGTTTGGACACCCCTGCTTTAAAATATCTGATTAATTCACATTTAATTGAAACATTTAATTTCAGGGTTTTTTTTTTGTTTTTTTTTTGTAGCTCAGCAATTAAACTAACAAACAAACAAAAGGTAATGTACAATCAGAAATGACAATCTCTGTTTGAGGGATTTGCCCCAACCTTTCATTGGTCCATCTCTTCTCTGATTGGTTGGTGAGCCAAATCAAATCTTACCAAGGGCATCGTTAAAATGCTAGTTCTAAAGTTTGTGGAGTAGCAACCGTTTCTGCTGTTCTGACGGCCAGCTGCATATGTAAATGAATGGGGAAAGAACGTAGTTCCTCATACAAAAGGGTTTTTGAGACTCTCTGTGTTGTATTTTTTCTTTTATATACACCATAATGCCGTCAAACTGGTGTGTAAACACAATATCACACTTGTAGCAGTGCGTTATGGCTGTATATTATCACTGGTGGGGCACTAAGGCACTCAGCAGTGGTTTGTAAAATAGTTCAAAATATCTTCACCTTTGTATTTAACAAAAATACTATACTTCATAAAGGTTGGCATTCAGAAATACCAACCGACCCAGCCGAGGCTAGAAGCAGCGACCTTCTTGCTGTGAGGCGATCGTGCTACCCACTCTTAGACCTACTTGAAGTACCTTAATACCTAACTGAGGCACTGTTTTTATTTGTGTATCTATTAAAATGTGTGCCATGTGATCATTTACCAGAGGATGTGGTGGATTTTGTCAGCACCACTGCTGGAAGGCAAGAAATAATTTTGGAAATGAGCACAGAACATTGGGAGCATGCAGCTCTTGCCAGAAAATGCAAGTTACAACCTCTTCAACCCTCTGTCAGAAGCACTTAGTCACATAAACTAGACAAGATTTCCCCCTCACGCTCTAGCACCGCAGTTGTGTAAGGACTCTAATGTGGTGGTTGGATTTTGGTGTAAAATGGAGAGCAAAAAACGACGCTGTTTAACTAGAAGAGGGAGATGTGATGACTGTCCGGGTTTACTGAAGGATTCATCCTCCTCAGAGATCAGCACTCACCTTCAGATAAAGGCTTATCCCCCTCTCCTTCTCTCTCCATTCTCCGTTACCCTATACTCTGACTAGCATGCTAAACGTTTGTTCAGTCAAGAGCTTCATGGAAACTGGGGCAGATGGGTTTTGTGATGGCTGTTAGATTTGATTTATTGTGTTGTGCTCAACACCGGCTACACAGCCTGTGGCACAGGCATGAGGCACACAGATCTGCAGACGAATGCTGACGTCCTGCTATGAGAAGAAAGACCTGCCGTTGCCTCATTTGTAAGAGGTTTAATCTTTTCTCTTTTCTGTTTTTCAGCTCCATGCTCCAGCAGCACCTTTTTCTGTCACAGCAACATGTGCATCAACAACTCACTGGTCTGCAACGGCGTTCAGAACTGCGTTTACCCCTGGGATGAGAACCACTGTAAGGGTGAGTTACTGCATCAACACTGGCTTCTGTTTCCTCGGGCACCTGAGACCTGACTCCAGAATAAAATGCTGCTGTTTTGTCAACATTATTCAAATATCATTTATTGTACCTGTCATGCTATATTTCATATATTTAAAACATCTAGAATCTGTGAGATTCGTTCTGGTTTTAAAATGTCACGTGATGCCAAAGCTGAATTTTCATCACTCCAATTAGAGTATCACATTATCATGTGATAATCAATCAAATGATCAAATGCTGTGTAAGATTTTTAGTCAATTTGAATTGTCCTCTTTCTGAATAAAGGTATTAAATAAACTTTCTGGCCATTTAAGATATAGATGACCCTTTTTTTAGAGGAACATTAAAGACATTTAGCCTAAATTGTGGTTGTAGGTGACATTCTGACATTTAAAAAACATAAACAGACAAAACTTTGAGGTCATACAATGTAGAAATATCCTTAAATGCAAAAACTAAACATTATTTATAACTTTATTATCATGAATCCACATCCTCAGTAACTTGTCCAGAGTGTTCACAATAGTCAAACTAGTTTAAGAACGTAATCATAGTATATATACACCATACCGTGAACCGTATAGCATGGACAGCACAGCCTTAACGATAGCAATTATCGGGTGATAGTGATATGGCCACCTATATTTTGTGCATCCCTATTATAAACGAATAAAATTAAACAAAAGAAAACATCTTTTAATTTATTTTTAAGAGGAAAAAAGTTCTTACTGATCGCAAACTTTTGAGCAACAGTGCTGTTGTTTATTCAGACACCACAGATGTATAATGAAATACAAACTAGTATTTCTCTGTCTAGAAAAGCAATTCTGAATTACTCAACATCTGCTTCTTCTGTTGTGCGATTTAAACAGATTTTGACTTGACTATTCAAAGTGCATTTTAAAATCCCTATGATTATGATTTCAAATGTCTTGACTGATATCTGTCTGCATCTCCTCATTAGAGAAAAAATCCAAGGGACTGTTTCACCAGATAACAAAGACACACGGCACAGTTATCGGCATCTCCGCTGGTGTGGTTCTAGTCTTGCTTATCATCTCCATCCTGGTGCAAATGAAGCAACCTCGTAAGAAAGTAGTGGCTCGTCGACCAGCCGTCTTCAACAAAGGCGGGTTCCAAGAGGTATTCGATCCTCCAAACTACGAGCTGTTCTCTCTACGTGACAAGGAGCTGTCGTCAGACCTGGCAGAGCTGTCGGATGAGCTGGATGGGTATCATAAGCTGCGGCGCTCCTCTACCATGTCCCGGTGCATCCACGAGCACCACTGTGGGACCCAGCCCTCCTCGGGTGGCAGCGTAAAGCAGAGCCGCACTACCCTCAGCTCCATGGAGCTTTCCTACCACAACGATTTCTCTAAGCCTCCGCCCATGAAGACCTTCAACAGCAGCAACACCGGCACCTACAAGAAGAGCTGCTATGGCTACAAACAGACTCACGACTGCGCTGAGCAGGTGATCGAGGACCGGGTAATGGAGGAAATGCCCTGTGAAATTTACGTGAGGGGTGGCAGCGTGGCAGGGGCTGCTGGCAGCATCGGAAGCGGCTGCGGGAGCATCACCATCCGTAATCATGGCAATGCTCGTGGTAACAACACCACCGTAGTGGACCCGGGACAGCGTTCCATATCAATGGACTTCTGAGATGAACCAGAGCCTGGACCAGCACTGACTGGGTGGTCCTGCATTGCTGTTTTTAATGCACCCGTCTCTGGTGCTATATAGATGAGAAGGCTGTACACTGAGCAAATGAACAGACTGTATAAGGAGAAGCAGGTGAAATGACACACAGCTGGCTATTTTAATCTCTGTAAATTTCAAATGAAAGATAAACAGTATGTAGGTTTTGTGTTGTTGCTTGGCATTAACTCACTTTTTGCTTTGACTCTGCGGATAACTGGAATTACGCTTAATGAAGATGACAGCCGTTTTGGCGAACTCAAGTCGTTTAGTGATTGAAACAATCCCCAGCCTCATTCTCACTAAGGATGATAAATGATGATAACGTTTAAATATTTGTGAGAAAATCAAATTGCACACCAAAGCTGCTATATTGGCACATGGATAAGGTTTTCAGAATGATAAATGTGCTTGTTGAATGCGCAAACATTTGATGGTATTTTTATCAGTTGATATCTGCTGAAGAGCTTAGAAAATGTGTAAAGGTGAAGATCTGCTGCAGTGCGATGCGTTTCAAATGTGTGTCCTGTATTGAACTGTAGTGGGCAATGATGCAACTATAAAGAAAAAATAGGTATACTTAAGCATTCACTTATAAGGTAAAATAGGACAGTGTTTCTCAACCACGCTCCACCAGGACCACTAGCTCTGCACATTTTCCATGCCTTCTTAACCAAACACACCTGATTCAGATCATCAGCTCATTAGCAAAGACTGAAAGACCTGTAATTGGTGTGACAGACAAAGAAGACATCTAAAACATGCAGTGTTGGTGGTCCTTCAGAAATATGGTTAAGAAGCACTGGAATAGAATATATAAGAAATTGTTCAATCAGTCAACCAACTTTATTTACAGTTAAAGTCAGAATTATTAAACCCCCTAAACTATTAGCCCCCTGTTTATTTTTTTTTTTTCCAATTTCTGTTTGTCAGATTGAACATTTTTTCAACACATTTCTAATCATAGTAGTTTTAATAACTCATTATTAATAACTGATTTATTTTATCTTTGACATGATGACATTAAAAAATATTTTACTAGATATTATTTAAGACACTTCTATACAGCTTAAAGTGATATTTAAAGGCTTAACTAGGTTAATTAGGTTAACTAGGGAGGTTAGTGTAATTAGGCAAGTTATTGTAATGATAGTTTGCTCTGTAGTTTTGTTGTTCTCTAATTTTGACCTTAAAATAGGTTTTAAAAATTTTTAAACTGCTTTTATTACTGCTGAAATAAAACAAATAAGACTTTCTACAGAAGAAAAAAATATTATTAGACATACTGTGAAATTTTCCTTTCTCTGTTACACATCATTTGGGGGGAAAAACTAATCAAAGGGGGTTTAATAATTCTGACTTCAACAGTATATAGCACCTTATTGCAACCAGGAGGCTGCTCAAAATTCCTTACACTATTAAAAACAAAATTAAACATTAAAACACATAAGAACACAAGTGTCAATAAAACAGCATTTTGTACTAGCGGATATTAAATAATCCCCATTATTTGTACCTGCATCTGGTGAATTCTAGCAAAAACTGGCCTGCTGATTGTAGGGCCCTGTTCAGTTTATGAACCTTTAAAATCTCATTTAAATATGAAGGTGCAAGACCACTAACTACATTAAAAACAAAAAACAGTAGCTGTAATTCTGAATTGAACAGGGAGCCAGTGAAGAGAGTAAAGGACAGGTGTGATGTTCTCTGGAGCAGCAGCATTTTGCACCAGTTGTAATCGATGAAGTAAGGTTTGGTTAACTCCAACATTAAGTGCATTGCAATAATCCAGACGAGGATTAATTAAAAAAAATTGTTAATATATCTAAATAGAAGTACAATCTATAATCCTTCTGGTCACAGAACTGCTTATTTTTCCTTATTTTTTAAAGAGTCATACATACTTAGTAAGTGTAATACAAGCTTAGATTAATTTAAAAATGGGGAAATTTATCATTGTGTTATCTCTCTAGTAAATGTGGCCAGTCAAATGCAACCTGAATATTAAGGATCCCATGTGGATCATCAAAGTCTGTGTTTTGGTCTGATTGGCCTGTTTTACACAGAGATTTTACACTCACAGGATTTACATAAAAATGAGGCAACTGGTGATGTATTGAACCCTTACTATTCAACTATGCCTACGTTTATCTAGATTTTCATTCTATGGCCCCTCTAAAAATAAAAGTACTTTTATCTGCATCACTGGTGCCACAAAGTACCTTTAATAACCTAAAAGCTTTAATATTCATTCATTTTCTTGTCGGCTTAGTCCCTTTGTTAATACAGGGTCACCACAGTGGAATGAACCGCCAACATATCCAGAATGTTTTTACGCAGTGCATGCCCTTCCAGCCACAACCCATCTTTGGGAAACAACCATACACACACATTCACACACACACTCATACACTACAGACAATTTAGCTTACCCAATTCACTTGTACCGCGTGTCTTTGGACTGTGGGGGAAACCGGAGCACCCAGAGAAAACCTACGCGAACGCAGGGAGAACATGCAAACTCCACACAGAAATGCCCACTGACCCAGCCAATGCTCGAACCAGCGACCTTCTTGCTGTGAGGCAACAGCACTACCTACTGCACCACTGCGTCGCCGCTTTTATATTCCACAAAATAAAAAGTACTTTAGATAGTTTAAATGTAAATAAAGATTTTTTCAGACTAAGAAACAGCTAATTTTTTACTAAAGGGAGCAAGAAAGTTTAAGAAACACAAAATGGTTCTTGTGTTGTTGTTTTTTTGGTTTGTTTAGATGTCTTTGGTTTCAGTTCAAATTGCAACAAAGTCAAAATAGTGCAGTTTCTGGGTTTGTGAAGTTCAGTGGAAATACTACCTTCTAAACCTGTTCAGCAGGCTCAGGACATCATCGTGATATCAGATTGATGTTGTGCCCCAATGTTGTACAGTAGAGACGTTGCCTTTGTTTGGAAAATAAAATTGGCATTGTGACATTGACATTGACATTGCGTGGATGTCTGCTATCAGACAGATGTTGGATTTTGGTCAATATGATGTTGGTTTATGAGTCAGTGTTGGATTTTGGTTACTTTCCAGCACAATGTCAAATTAACCAAATATCAATGTTGTTTGATGTCATTATTGGACATCAAAATAATGTTGTCCTTGGACCCTAGCTAGACATTGAATTTTGGTCACCTGATGTAACAACCCTAATCTAACCCAATATTAACGCCTTATGATGTTGTGTGCCTGCTGAGTTACTAAAAAGATGAGTCTTGATCTACTTCCAAATGAACTCCAAATGATGTGGTAAAATATAAATGCAACATGGACAGAACACATTTAAACAAACCAGTAATGAGAATAGATGTGAATATAACCAGGACAGAATGCTCAAGCATACCTGATTTTTCTACTAATAGTCATTGTTGCCCTGCTACATTACAGTTCAATGAAAATGCATTTCCTTGTAACATTCATGCGCATTTTAGAAGAATTGCTGATGCTGTTTTGACTTGTGTACACATTTAGAAATCTCTTACAAATTTCTCAATCATGGTTACATGTATAAACATACAAGAAAATGCGTGTTCAGGCCAGTACACACTATTGTTTTGGATATATCTCTTTTTCTTTGTATATTGTTTTGACTATTTACGTACAGTCTTAAAAGTGTGAATGCTAAGCAAATCAGGACGTAATCATCTTTCTTGACGGTTTATAAACTGCAAACAAACCAAGTGACCCAAACTACAAACAGCGTTCAATTGAACCACGTCAACAGAGCAGTCACACCAGAATCAGTTTTAACCAATCCAAAACCGCCAAGTGTAAACACATCTTAAATTGCTCAAACAGACAAGAAAAAGCAGTTTACATCTATAACAAACAGAATAGTCATGCTCTTGTGTGGAAACTGATATATTTCATTACAGTTCCTTTACATCATGCCTGAAACAGACACAAAAACGGCTTGTGAGGTGACAATCACAGCTAATCAGAACATATGTGTTGTTTAATGTGCAGCCATGCAGACCAACAGGAGCTACACAACAGTGGAAAAGGCAACTAACAAAATGTCTGGTCGCTGGTTAGAGCAGCTCAGCACAACGAATGAAGTTTACATTAAAACAAAGGATTTGCTTTTGGACACAGTCTTAAGAGGAATGTGCTTTTGGATCAATATGGCCACAGCACACGTTGATCTGATTTTGACATTTTTAGCTTTTGTTTTATCCAAATTTCCTGTGCGCATTTATAATTGTATCTAAGGGGTCATTAAAGACCACCGCACATACATTCCTTATACTATATCCAACATTTTTGGAGGTGCAGTCGATCCATCGCAAGCTTCCGAACTAAGTGTGGAAACCTGTAAATGACGCTTATACCTTTTGTATAGAAATGATCCTTTTTTTTGTTAAATAGGTCAAATTGAGCAGGAATATATTTTCTAACCAATATATGTTGTATATCAAATAATGCGCTTCCATTTTAGTCATAACATGAATAATTGTAAAGATGTTGATGTGAGAGATGTCCAATTACATTTTAATAAAAATGACGCCACCTAATTGATCTGCCTCATCTGACTGACTGAATGATGTATGCTGAAAAACATCACAGACGCATGCATATATCATCATATTTCTCTGCATTTTACTCTCTTTAGTCGGGCTCATTCGTAATAATATTTTATTATTGTCATTACTGGACATATGAACTACGGTAAGAACACGTCTCGCTTTCATCTTCACAGTCATTTGGTTTCATGTTGACTTATTTTGCTTTGGTCCTCCTCCTCTCGCAGTGTCCATCTCACTGATCTGTCATGTTGAATTAGACTGCAGGAGCACTCAAGGCCTCGTACGTCTTGAAAAGGACAGACACAGCGTAGGTCACAGCCTCTATTAGACCCTGAAGCCCCAGACACCCTCCACTATTAAAGTCAATATGAATTATAAAAAATGCAGAGGGTTTCCATTTATGTTTTTAATGCAACTTTATGGTTTTGTGATTTGGTTCAAGTATTTTTTTTTTTCTAATGAAAAAGTTTTGCTGTTCTTCATAATGATCCATTCACACCTCACTGAATGGAAATTTGTTTGCTTTTGACACAGTAGCCCATGAGCTTTTAATATTTTTATCACTAATTTACAGTGAAATTTCCTGGAAAGTAAACCCCAGTCAGAGTTTTTTACTATGCTAAATTACCCTCAAACAGCTCACATTTACACATTCAGTAGTCATGAGATTACTAGAAATCAAATCCATAATAACCTTTACATTGTTATTGCCAATTCTCTCAGTTGAAACTTACATATTGAGTGTGTGCGTGTGTGTGTGTGTGTGCGTGCGTGCGTGCGTGCATGTGTGTGTGTGTGTGCGTGCGTGCGTGCGTGCGTGCGTGCGTGTGTGTGTGTGTGTGTGTGTGCGTGCGTGCGTGTGTGTGGTATATTTGAAGAGTTCAGGTGCAAAAACCTCTAAGTGCCATCTGAATTAAGGAAAATTTTAATTTTTCTCCGCCTTTTTGTTTATGTTGGGATATTTCACTTTAAAGACCAGGAAAAGGGCTTATTGTTTGCCATAAAAATGATTACTGAACAAACACACAGGTGCCTGATAAAAATGCTCATTTAGAGTAACATTTCAGATGGCAATTAGATATTTTTTTGCATCTAAACGCTTCATATATATATATATATATATATATATATATATATATATATATATATATATATATATATATATATATATATACATAAGTTGCTCTCTTGCTTGGGGATCTGTAACTGTTTTAAATTGGGGCCAATTATATTACTAAAAACGTGTGATGTTAACTGCCCAAAACAAAAATCTGCACAAAAAAGCAAAAAACAAAAGACATTAACAGAATAACCCAAATGATTCAATTATTCATTTTCCCTCAGCTTAGTCCTTTT